TTCTCCAAATCTCTGCTCAAAACTGACCTCAATGCTCTTGGGAAGTGTGAAGCTCTAGAAATGGGCAGGTTCCTCCCGTCTTGTCTTGGACTCAGTCAGCCTTTAGCGGGGTCACATCAAATGTCTGACATAACTATAAAGTATCCATAGCACCCACTGAAACCTCAAACACTTTTTTTTTTTTAAGACAAAGTCTCACTCTCTCGCTCTGGGTAAAGTGCCCTAGCGTCATAGCTCACAGCAACCTCAAACTCTTGGGTTTGAGCAATCCCCTTCCTTCAACCTTCTGAATACCTGAGACTACAGGCACCCGCCATGAGGTGCAGCTACTTTTTCTATTTTTAGTAGAGATGGGGTCTTGCTCTTGCTCAGGCTGGTCTTGAATTCGTGAGCTCAAACAATCCACCGGCCTCGGCCTCCCAGCAAGCTAGGATGCCAGGCATGAGCCCCTGAGCCCCGCCTCCCAAACACTTTTTGGAAAACCTTGCCAGTTCAGGGGTACAGCTGCAGCTGGTTTGTGGGTCCAAGGACAGGCCATTCGGGTAGATCTGCTGATTCTGATTTATGAGTGTGCCCCTAAACAGTGTGAAGAGGGGCAGGGGGCAGAGCGGAATGCCTTGCCCCCCGCGGAGGTGCTGATACAAGCAAGGCTGAAAGGGGAAACGGGGCACTGTGCTGCACTCTTCAGAGCCACACCTCACTGTCCTAGGGCACCTCCAACGCCGACCCCCGCCCCGCGGCCCGGCTCTCACCAGTCGCAGCATCTTCACATGGCCTTTCACACTGAAGCAGAAAGGGCGATGTGTAGGATTCCTCTGCGCGACCTCCATCGCGTCCGCAGACCCAACAGTCGCACTTCCCCTTCAAACCTTCGCCTCAGCCGCCTTCCCTGTCAGCCCTCGCGTGGCAGTAACAGCCGCTGCCGCAGCCGCGCGCCGCCGCGCTAGGGGTCTCGCCCTGGTATGCGCAGGCGCACAGCGCCGCGGTCCATCCCCATACGCATGCGCCACATGGCTGCGGCCTGCTGGCGGTTCTGGCTCTGTCCTCTTCTCCCGTCTTCCCGTAGCACATTTGCGGATTTTCAAGGGGCTCCCTGCGGGCCAGCCCACAGTTAGCCCGCCCTGGCCTGCCCGGCTTAATGACCTCAGCTCTCCAGCTCTCCTGATGAGCTTTCCTGTCGGGAACAGCACCCAGGGTAGGGGGCCGGAGTGTGGACGTTGGTCAAGAAGAGAAGTCCAGGAATGGCTGTCCTGCCTGTGCAGACCTTGGGCATCTCAAATGCCACCCAGAGGATTTTCCTTGGTCACCCCGTTTAGAGTAGCCACCATCATTCCTTAGCATCATAAAAATATAAGGTCCACAAAAAGCAGGGAACTTATCATCTGCTTCTCCCCTTACAGCATTCCCAGAGTGGGGCATAGAGTAGGTGTGGAGTATATGTAGCCTGAACTAAGGCCTGGGCTTGTCCTTGACGCCCCCAGGCATCACAGTCTGTTCTTTTGCCTCCCACCAGTGTGAGTTCTTTTCAGGTACTTGAATTTAATTTACATTTTCCACAAATGCTCCCATAAAGCTGGCTGGAGCTTGGAGCTCCACCATCCTGGAGCATTTCTTTTCAGGGATGTTAAGTATACAGTATGTTGCTCCTTTTATGTGATTTAAATTCTGTCTTGGATAATTTGGCCATCACCCAGTCTATTCAGATCTCTTTGGATCCTGCCCCATCTCAGGCCTAGTTCATTTCATTCTGTTAAATCTGACCAACAGACTCTTCCCAAGCCACTCACAAAACTGTTGACCTTTATCCTGAAGTTTATTTCTGGAGTGCAAACTGGCCCTTGCTAGGTGTGTGGCAGATATTTAGAAAGCACAAAATGGGGTGGTGGTTTTCACATAACAGATCCTGAAGCCAAGTGAACCCTCTGGCAAATGGCTTCTTTCCTGGGTAAAAGGAGACTGTCAAGGACTGGGAGAAGTGGGAAACCCCGCCACCCAAGCACTGGAATTATACAGTCCAGCTCCAGTTAACTGTGAAACTACCCTTATAGATTGATGAAGGGGTATAAGGTGAGAACTAGAGAAAACTAGCCCCAAAACTCTGTAAAGGAAAAGGCCTACCTAAAATAATGATAATAATCAAACTCTTTGAAAGAACAGGCTTAGCTAAAACAATAATAATCAGCCATTGTCTCCTCATTTTCTTGATAATAATTAGTCATTGTCCCATAGTTTGCTTCTCTTTAATTGCTACTCTAGAGGGCACAGCTAGTAATTGTAAGATTCCTAACTCTACTCCATAAATAACATCACCTCTTCAGAACCTAGGGGTAGTTTTGAGGTTTTTTTTGCTGTTTCTGCATTCCATTAGATTGACTGACCTATCCAAGCCAAGAAATTGACTCATCTGGTCTTGGATCCTTCGCTTAAGGCCCTGCATTCCAGTAATTGAACCACCTAGACCAGTCAGTTGTTGGTATTAATTGCCTTCCATCCTCCAAGTCCTGTCAGGTCTTGGGTGCATTCTGCCAGCGTCCTAGCAGCGGGAAGACTTTCTGACTCCAAGCGAACTCCCCACCTAGGATTATTTCCCCTCTCGCTGAGAGGATAAAATGCGACCAGGTCTCTTTAAGGGCTGGGCCCAAGCTGGCGTCCCGGCGGGGCGGGCCCGAGGACCGAGGCGGCGCTCCGAGGCTGGACGTGCGGTGCGGCGCTCTCACCAAGTGGCACAGGAAGGAAACCTGGGCCTCCAGGTCGGCAGGGCCTGCCATGCTGCTGAGGCCGCTAAGGGGCTGGGCCGCCCGGGCGCTGCGCAGCGTAGGACCTGGGATCCCCGGGATCCCCGAGATGCCCGCCTCGGGTTCCCGGGGGGCACAGCGGCGGGCCTGGCTCCTGGGTAACTTGAGTCTTTGTTTTTCTTCGCTGGCGCCTCTGTGTGCAGTCCCCGCTCCCACCCCTTGGCTCCCGGGACCCATCTAGACCCGAAACGACTCCTCCGAAGCGAGCGATTTCCTCCCTGGGCGGGGGAGGGGCTGTCACTAGCGGGTATCCGGGCTCCCGCCGCCGGGTAGCGGTGGAGCCCGGAGCCCGGCTCTCATGCTGGGAAGGGGAGAGGGGCTCTAAAGAGCGATAAGGGGCCCCACTCCGCGGGGCAGGGCTGCTCTGAGCTTGCTGGCCCAGGCTTGGCTCCCTGAGCCCCGCTTCCTAGTCTAGTTGTTTAGGCCTTGAGGATCGGTGGGTACTGGAAGCTGCATTTAACCAGTCTTCACCCGGCGGCTGCAAGGGGTGTGTTTAGGCGCTGCCCACCCTGCTCTCTTTGGGAATGGGGCCCTACTTAGAAATAGGTCACCGTTATGGCTAAGGTTCCGGCTTAGGTCGAGGGGCACCCCAGAACCAGCTGTGGTTTGAGTGTGCAGCGATGTCAGCCCTGGGCCGGGAGGAGAACCTGGATCTTAGGACCAAACCCGTGCCTGCCGCCCACTCCTCCCCTTGTGCTCTGCGTGAAAGCCCCTCTTCGTTTTCGCTTACTGGACAGCCATCTGTGAAGAGCTATATGAAATGTGTAGATAGGCTCTGCGCCTGTAGCTCAGCAGCTAGGGTGACGGCCACATACACCGGAGCTGGCGGGTTCGAACCCCGCCTGGACCTGCCAAACAACAATGACAACTACAACAACAACAAAAATAGCTGTGAGTTGTGGCAGGCATCTGTAGTCCCAGCTACTTGGGAAGCTGAGGCAAGAGGATCGCTTAACCCCAAGAGTCTGAGGTTGCTGTGAGCTGTGATGCCACATCACTCTACGGGGAACCATGGGACCCAGACAGCAGCTGCACAGTGTCACACATAGGTACACGGTGGTGACCATACCATTGTTCCCGAGAGTCCCCAAATTGGTAAACACTTTTAGGCCAGTAGTATGCATAAAAACTGTTGTTTCTGAGGTCATTTAGCAAATAGGGCAAAGAAGACTGAGTTATTTAAAACTGAGTTTAAAAATTAATTTCCTTTGTTTTGTAGATAAAGATAGAGAACGGGAAAAAGAGAAAAAATCAGTGGTAAGTTCCTCTTGTATGTGCACTCTGCAGTGTAGAATTTTTTTTTTTTTTTTGAGCCGGGCTGGAATGCCATTGAGCCAACTCACCATCTTCCCTCACTGTCTATGCTGGGCTGCTGGAGTTGGGGGAAGAGTGACAGGAGCACTTCCTCCAGGCCAATGCAGCTAGGACCCTGCCAGGTCACACCTGAAGCTAGCCCAGTCTCACCCAAAGCTGGGAATTACTGTTGCCTGGTTACCTCTGATGTTTTTTCAAAGCTTTTCATTAGTAGGGGTGAATTCTTCAGGGCCCCCTGTTTCCTTTTGGCCCAGGGTGGGTCCAGAAATGCCTTCCAGGGAAGTAAGTCCTAGACCAGGGATTTTCAACTGGT